CACCGCAAAAAACACCCGCGCCAAACTTGGCCAAAATATATTCGGGTTGGCGATAATATTGTTGAAGGTCGCGTTTCATGACATGGTAGAATTGAACTAAAAGAGGCATTGCAAATTCGCCGACCATGTAGGGGTCAGCGGACGCACCGTTGGATGGTGATGAGACGAGAATGTCGAGCTCCTCAAGAAGTTTGTTGTATTCAGTGCTCTTTTTCCATGCCTGAACCCAGTCGATGGGTGTAGACTGCCCTTGGGTGCCCCCTCCAATGACCTCGAGCATGTATTCAGCGGGCTAGAAGAGATGGCATCAGCAAATTTCAAGTATGTCAGGAGCCGAAAAACTCACATTTTCAGTTGGGCCACAGTGACGAGCTCCTTTATCCTCGAGATATTCTAAAACCGTCCGAGCCTGTTTACCGATATCTCCAAAATAAATAGTTCTTCCGCCTTTGGCAAGAAACAGCAAACGATCGAATTGCTCGAATAAAACGGCACTTGGTTGGTGGATTGTGGCGAGGACAGGCTGGCCATGGTCCGCAAGTTTTCTCATGAACGCGCAGATAGCCCACGAACTTCGTGAATCCAAACCACTGGTAGGCTCGTCAAGAAAGATCAGAAGTTGAGGCTTGGCAGCAAGCTCAACTCCAATGCTGAGCAGTTTCCTTTGTTCCATGTTTAAGCCATCACCGGGACTTCCAATAACTGCTTCTGCGAAATTCTGCATTCCCAGCAACTGGATCACCTCCTCAACAAAATTATATTTTTCCTCCATTGACACAGATTGGGGTTGGCGTAGTGCTGCGCTGAATCGAAGGGCCTCACGGATGGTGCACGTCTCCACATGAAGATCTTGCTGCTGGACATAGCCAATATTTCGGGCAAAGCTAGCATCAAGTTCGCGGCCGTTGACAAACATATCTCCTGTAACAACTCCGATAGTCATACGCCGCGCTAAAACGTTCATAAGTGTTGTTTTCCCAGCACCTGAAACGCCCTATATTCATGTCAATGCCTGTGAGGCGGAAGTCATGGATTCAGAAGAGGGAAATAATGCATACCATGAGTGCCGTGAGTGATCCAGGTTTGACCCAACCACTAACATCATCCAGAAGCCGTTTTTCACCACCTTTGACTGGAATGTCGTAAGAGAGTCTTTTCCAGCTGAAGGTATTCTTTTGTTCTGTTTTTGATGAATGGACCTCAGAGGCCAATGATTTTACCTCCTTCAAACGTATAGACTCCTCTCCGCGTTCCAGATCACCTCGAATCAACCTTTGGAGCACACCCCCATGGCGAAAGATCAAGACTTCGTGGGCCGGTGTGGTTCCTGGGATCAACTCCGTGAGCCAAAAGTAAAGCACATAGAAGAAGACAAGAAAAGCAACCAAGATGCCATAATTCCTCCACACATGATCGTAGGAGTAATCGTAACTGCCTGCAATATATGCATCCCCAGAGACATACCGCTCCCCCGCAACGGATCCCACATATGAGCAGGTGAATGATAGTCCCTGCTCGAAACTTAAGCTTGGAATATATTCCACACACTCAAAATGGCGACCGTGGAACTCATTGGAGACAATGGCTTCGAAAGTGTAAAATATCGGATTGAGCCATCGGATCCATCCAAACCATGGCGGCATGTCGAACTGAGGAACGGTAAACCCAGTGTACACGGCAATACAGATAATCACAACTCCAGCCAGAGCCATAGCTTGTCCGATAGTCCTGGTAACGGTAGCCAAAGTGCGAAATATCGTGGCCATTGTCATCACTGCTGTGAGCTGGAATATAATGTAGATAAAGAAATGAGAGGCCTCTCTCCGGAGATTTGCAAGAAAATATACGATAATAGCAGATAAGAGACATCGGAAAAGTTTGATAGGGAAATCCACAATAACTTCTGCAATGGCTTCCGTGAAAGGGTGCACAAAGGCATAGGCAGCTTGTTTCTCCACGATCAATCTTTGGCTGTATAGGGTGGTGATCTCCAACAAGGATATCAAAGCATTTGTCAAAACAGCGAGAAAAAGGACCGATGCCCTCTGGCCGAGCCCAGCGGTATTCTCTGGAATATTGTAAAAAAGAGACCCAATGATCAGGGATACCACCGTCTGCGCCACTGCCGTAGCAATCAAGGCCGGGATATCATTGCGAGTCCGTTGCCAAGCTCTCACAATGCATAGTCTGATTTGCATCGGCACCGAGAGAAGATAGGGGCTAGATATTCGAGCATTATTTGATTGCTCAAGGCGCTTAATTTCATCCAATTTGATCTCCTCCGAGCTATCAAGAGGGGTCTTCATCTTGTATTGTCGCATTGATGTCTCCAGCTCTGCATGCTCCGGGCTGTTCTTCCAGTAATTTTCGAACTCTACTGGGGTGCGGGGGACTGCATGTTCCATGCCGACTTGTGGTTGTCGCTCGCCTGTGTTGGTGATAGCTGTGAGGAAATCCGCACTCACTTGTTGGGGTGGTCGTTTCCATCCCATCGTCTCAAAGTATGCAACAGCCCCTTGACGAGAGCCAAAATATATTTCTCGTCCTTCATATAGAAGAATGACTTTGTCGAAGGTATTGTAAAGACCTTCCGAGGCTTGGTATACAGCGACTGCATGACAAGATCCCGCTAGTTTGGCTGAGGTACGAAGGGACCGAACAAAGTCGACAGCAGTGGCTGCATCAAGCCCACGTGTGCTGTTATCCCAGGCCGCAATCGAAGTCCGTGACAAAACCGTTTCCGCAATGCTGTTCATACCAACTATTGTGTCAGTTCTCATACCCTTTCCTTCTCCCCTCTTGCTCCAAGCCGAACAGAATGAGCTTACCTGACCCTCTTTCTTTCCCCTCCACTGACGCCTGGAACAAAGTCGTTGCCAACATTTGTGTCGTATGTGTGGGAAAGACCAAATGTATCCATAACCACTTTCACCACGGATTTGACATACTGGTCTCGACTCGAATTGCCTACTTGATTGTGCGGTGCTCGTGCATGTGCTGCAAACTCAAGTGTTTGACCAACTGTCAAGTTCGGAAAGTGGTGATCCGCCTCTTGGTTGTACACTAAATCCCCCCGGTACTTTTCAATCATCACTCTGAATGGTACTCCCCTATACTGGATCTCACTGACTGGGTCGAGATCTAAGCCTTCAAGGTAGCCACATAGTGATTTCAAGAACGTTGAGCACCCACTACCCGGACGACCGAGCACCAGCAACAATTCGCCGCTGTTTAAAATCCCGTTGAATGCATGTAATATGGTTCTTCGATCATTTTGAGGTTTTTTGTTACCAACAACGCTCATGAGTCGTTTGATAGGGTACGCAATGGGGTATATAAGGGCGGACAGAACAGTTTTTTGGATTTGTAGCGAGGATCCTTTTCCATGGACAGTCAAATTCTCAAAAAAAATGTCCCGTTGGCGGGCATCTATCGTGGTAGAACCGCTGAGGTGAGAAGTCACGTCGGTCCAGATCTGAGGGTCGATTTTGGGAGATCCATGATGCATGGCGTCCACTGCGGCCTGCCGAATGCGAAGCCGCTCATTGTCACTTGATGGTGCTCCGTCGAATAACTCTGTGGAGCTTGTCGTGTTCAGAGACGAACACGCAGCTTTGTCTTCGTGGCTCATCTCCTGGTCGCCTTCTTCTGGAGCCATGCGTGATGTGGCTGACAACTTGATTCGGATGAAAACTTGGATAATGTTTCAAAAGGGTATCCCTGTATGGGGTGCAATTGCCTAACTGCTTGTAAAATTTTTGTACTGGGAAATTACCCTCTGTCTGATCATCTTCCAATTATTTTTATTCCGTATGCCTTGCGTCTGAGCTATAACAGTTCGACCAATGACTGCACTAGCATGACTAGTAAATTCTTTAACTCGGGTGACATTCCCCCAATGCTTGTCTATTATTGCAGAGTATTGAAGGCTCAGTGAATGGGGAAGTCCAAAGAAGATACCCCATACTAAGCCAAGCCTGTACTCAACCCAACATATATTGATGATTCAAATTTGGAACTAATCGATTCCCAAAGCTGCCATGGCTATGTATGTTTTAGGGCAAGCAATTATCTGAGCCATAATGAAAATGAGACAACAAGCTAATCACCTGCAGCCTACGGATTACTCCATATAGAGTCAGAGCCAAGCAAGATACATATTTAGCACGATAAAGCAAGGACTATGCTATCCCCACGGACTCTTTCTTCCCTGGCACGGGTGTAGACTAAGCATTATCTAACCTAGGAAATAAATAAGCATTCATGAATGCAAGATGCCAATGTCACATTCCGATGTGCCTAGCGTGAAATAATTGACTCGTATTAAAATATAAATTAGAAATAAATTAAACTTCCGAAAAGAAAACCTTAAAAAAATAAACAAATCAGCGAAATACCGTACGGAGTACGTACTCCGTACAGCAGGGCGAACTAGAATTCGAGAGAATACCAATCGATACCACTCGAAAGAATGAAATGACAACTTAAACGTACCATACATACTCCGTACATATGTATGTAATCTATTTATTAAGTGTAATTATAAAAAAGTCTGATGCCTCAGAAGTTTGTCGGGGGTTCCGTCCCATAGTCTATCTTCATCAGCCAGCCACCCCCGAGAAGGTGAGCCCTGGATATTTGTATGTTCGCCATAAGGTGATGATCCATTGAAGATCCCGCAGCTGGGTGGATATTGCGTGCAGAATCGCTGTGTTTTCAGCTTTAGAGTCAAACAGCAAGGGAGACACTGCTATATCGGGTTATCTATCATCTATGGTGAGTCCGTACATGCTTTTGGCTCAGATATTGTATGCAGGTCGTATCGTTATTTGTTTTTCTAAACCCTCGGTTTTCCATTATAACCTTGATGTGCCTCGATGGACAAGGTTCCCTCTTGACACTGAAACCCGTTCAACATCAGGTACCAACTTGGGAGTATTTGCCTCTCTTCGCTTTGTCTTATTCCTCAAAATAATCCTGCTTTACATATTCAACTTGCTATGGCCGAACCACCAAAAACCCCGGGTCGGCCCGTTTGTGTTGTTTTCGGCCCCCAGAGTTCCGAGATTGATGAAACTTTATTTTACATCAGCCGCAACATCGACGAAAATCCATCGTTGGAATTCCTCAAGGATGTCTTGCAAGAACTACCGTCGCTATGGTCGCCCATTACAGATGCTTGGTCCTCTTTATCCTCAATCCCTGGAGCGACACAACTTACGGTGCTTGCTGAATGTGTTCAGGGGACGACAGTCGCTCCCAAAAGTGCAATGAATGTGTTCATGACGCCTCTCACTGTTATTCGACAGATAATCGATGTGTGGAAATTCAAAGAAGAGTCCCAGAACAGGTGCAGAATCGTGGATGCCCAGGGGTTTTGTGTCGGCTTCTTAGCGGCGGTCGCAGTCGCTTGCTCGAATGATTCCAACGAATTTGAGGACATCGCATCCACTATGATCCGATTGGCTGTTTGCATTGGAGCAGCAGTTGACCTGGATGGCATCTTGCATGGTCCGGCCCGATCTGTTGCTTTAAGATGGAAGTCGGATAGTGAGAAAGAACAACTCGACCGAGTGTTGGGTAGCTCTTCAACGGTGCGTAACATATCAACCCCGCCAATACTCCTATGTTATTCTACTTCAGATTATCTTCCCCCTGCTTAATAGTGGGTTACGACGTTGTGAGAGTATCAACGCGGGGACACATGTTGATATGGATATCATGTGACTCAAGAAGATGTTTGACGGCTCAATATTGGGCCGAGGATCCACATACGTGATGAACAGATAATCTAATATCAACAACACATAGGCCTACATCTCCTGCTTTACGGATGCAACCTCAGTCACAGTCACAGTCGCGGAAGATGAAGTGGAGGATTTGACCAAGGAGCTAGGAGGTCATGGGTTGTCGGTAAAAATTATTGACCTGAAGGGAAGATTTCATCATTCGAGACATGTCACAGCTGTTCAATACCTTGCAGATCTTTGTGAGACAGACGCCAGGTTCCGGTTAGCAAGGACTACTCCTTGTGTTCTTCCACTGAGGTCCAATGTCGATGGCCATGTGCTTGGGAAACGATTTGCCATTCACAAAACTGCCCTGGAATCAATCCTGACCAACCCATCACAGTGGGCTAGAACTGTTTCTGCCGCATTTGAGCAAGCGAGAGAGACACATGACGATTTAGCCTTTGTGGCCATTGGAACTGGCCAGTTTGTTCCACGTCTAGTCAGAACCCGCGTTCTAGATCACTTGAACAACAAGTGGTCGGACACAAAAAAACATGCAATTCTGCCAAATGGAATCCACAGATCATCTTCCGCCACTGGATCGAGGCCTTCAATCGATATGGCCACTATCGGCCCGACAGTGACCCCAATTGCCATCACTGGCATGGGGTGCCGATATGCCCAAGCGGATTCCCCAGAGCAACTTTGGGAGATGCTCGAGCTTGGGCGGTGTGGTGTCAACGCACTTCCCAACGAGCGATTCAAGATGGACAATCTTCTTCGCGAGCCAAAGGGGCCATTCTGGGGAAACTATCTGGCTAATCCAGATGTGTTTGATCATCGCTTCTTTGGAATTTCGGCCCGAGAAGCGGAGGCTATGGACCCCCAGCAACGACTACTTCTTCAGGTAGGGTATGAGGCTATGGAGTCAGCTGGATATTGTGGTCTTCGCACCTCCAATATCCCGACCGACATCGGTTGTTATGTTGGTGTCGGCTCGGACGACTATACTGACAATGTTGGATCAAGCAACGCGAACGCCTTTTCAGCTACAGGAACACTCCAGGCGTTTTGCACTGGCCGTCTTAGTCACTATTTTGGGTGGACTGGGCCATCGGTGGTGGTTGACACCGCATGCTCCTCAGCTGCGGTGTCTATTCATCTTGCATGCAAGGTAAGATTCCATATTCGATTCGACTCCTCACGAGGTTCTCGGACGACGAAGAAGTGACTGACTCGGTAATCTGATAACAAACTGCAGGCACTTCAAACTAATGAATGTTCTATTGCCGTGGCGGGCGGCGTAAATGTCATGACCAGCCCCAGAGTGACACAAAATCTGGCGGCAGCCTCCTTTCTCTCACCCACTGGTGCTTCGAAGGCCTTCGATGCGAGTGCCGATGGTTATTGTCGTGGAGAGGGGGCGGGGCTGGTCGTTCTACGACCCTTGAAAGACGCAATTCATAACGGAGACCCCATTCTTGCCATCATTGGTGGGTCGGCGGTCAATCAGGGGTCCAACCGCTCTCCAATCACTGTCCCAGACTCGGATTCCCAGATATCCCTTTATCGGAAGGCCCTTGTGACATCTGGGGTTCGTCCAGAAGACGTCACTTATGTTGAGGCGCATGGCACAGGTTTGTCAAGCCACCACTAACGATTTGAGATATATTCACTAACACAAATAAAAACAAGGCACACAAGTAGGCGACCCAATTGAATTTGAGAGCATCCGCAAAACGTTTGGAAGACCTGCGCGCACCGAAAGGCTTTATGTCGGATCTATCAAAGATAACATCGGCCACACTGAAACTTCTTCAGGCGTAGCTGGCCTACTAAAGACTGTCCTGATGATGCAGAAACACCAGATACCGAAGCAGGCCAATTTCGTTCAACTGAACCCCAAGATTCCCACGTTGGACGATGCAGCAATCGCAATTCCAACCAAGTCTATCCACTGGCCCTCCGCTGCTAATTCATCTTCGACTGCTGTGGCGATGGTGACCAATTACGGAGCTGCAGGAAGCAACGCGGCTCTTGTTGTGAAACAATACGACGCAAAATCTGGCCTTTCGAATCCAGTTTCTCCCCTCCCTAGTGAGGTGCCTGTTATTCTAGCAGCCAACACCGTTGAATCACTCGGATCATACTGCAAAGCTCTGCTTTCAAGCGTCCGCGATGCACACCTGAGCAGTTGCCAAGACATAGCCTACAACTTGGCAATCAAACAAAGCAGAGACATGGACTACGTTTCAGCATTCAGCATTCCTGTAGATCGACCCAACGACCTTATTGCGAAGCTAGAGTCAATATCATGTGAGACTACAAATCTCGAGAAACAACCGGCTGCCCGTCTGCCCGTCATCTTGTGCTTTGGTGGGCAAAATGGGAACGAAGCAACCATTTCCGAAGACCTATTTAATCAGTGTGAACTGCTTCAATATCACCTGGTAAGCCTTGGAAAATTTTCGATTTCTCCATGTTTTGTTTGCTAACAGTCCATCTGCGCTGTCTTAGATGGAATGTGAAAAAATTTGTCAAACTCTTGACCTTCCGAGCCTCTTTCCGAGTATCTTCCAACCTGGCCCAATTGAAAATACCGTCAGCCTTCACTGCATTTTGTTCTCAATCCAATATGCATCAGCAAAGTCATGGATAGATTCCGGACTGCAAGTGGACCGAATTATAGGCCATAGCTTTGGTCAACTTACTGGACTCTGTGTCGGTGGCGGGTTGAGCCTTTCGGATGCTCTTTATCTTGTCTCGGAGCGAGCCAAGATGATCCACAGCATGTGGGGTTCTGAGCGTGGAGCTATGCTCCTAGTGGAGGGCTCAGAGGTGGAGGTACAGGGTTTGCTGAATCGTGCAGCAGAGCATATGGCAGATGTGGCAGTGGATGTGGCTTGTGTCAACGGCCCACGTAATACCATATTGGCGGGAGACGAGCGATCCCTACAAATGATTGAGAATCTGTCGGCGAAAGCCCCCTCCATCCTTCGCACAAAGAGATTGAAGAACACACATGCTTTCCATTCCCGCCTGGTCGATAGCATTGTTCCTCCCCTGACCAAGGTAGCCCAGCAGCTTCAATACAAGCCATTGTCTATCCCTATTGAGGCTTGTTCTCAGTATGATGACTGGACTTCTGTTACCCCAGGCAAGATTGTGGATCACAGCCGCAGACGAGTTGACTTCCAGACAGCCGTTGAGCGGGTGGCCCAGAGGATTCAAGGACCTGCTATCTGGCTGGAGGCGGGATCCGCATCTCCCATCATCCCGTTGGTACGACGGGTTATCGATACAGTGGCAGCCTTTTCAAATGGGCATGTCTACCAGGCGCTCGACTTGGGAGGCGCACTGGCCCAGAAAAACCTTTCACAGGCTACGTGCAACCTTTGGTCTAGAGGTGTGAAGGTACAGTTCTGGCAGTTCCACGATTCCCAAGCCAAGAGCTACAACTGGATCAACCTCCCACCTTACCAGTTTGCTCAAACACGTCACTGGATTGGATACGACCCAAATGCCTTCGCGTCGTTGCCTGAAGTCAAGCCAACTGTGCCTTCTTCTGATGCCCCGAAAGAGTTTGTGCAGCTGCTCACAAAGCAGCCGACCGAGTGTGTGTTTGCCATTAATACGAATGACCCTCTTTATCAGGAGTGTACACAAGGCCATGCAGTACTTGATCAAAACCTCTGCCCTGCCTCTCTCTACTTTGAGATTATTGTTCGAGCGGCGGGACTGATTCGCCCAGAAAACGACATATCACTAGCCATGCCTCACCTGAAAGACCTTGCCATTTCGGCTCCGCTTGTGCTCAACCCTAGGGGAAATGTTATGTTGAGCCTTACTCGCGCCCGGGTGGGTGACTCCCCATGGTCATTCTCCCTCTTCACTCGTGAGCCCAACAAGAATACAGTCACCACACATGCAACCGGTGAGATCAGCTTGCACCCCTTCGGCCAGAATACACCTCTCTTCGTTCGACTTCACTCCATGAACCGATTGATTGATTCTTCTCGAGTGGACTCCATCGCCAATTCACGAGAGTCGAGCGGTCTTAAAGGATTCGCCGTATATCAAGCCTTCCGCAGAGTTGTCAATTACGCTGATTATTATCGTGGCGTTGAACAAGTGTTCGCGACTGATCATGAGGCCGCTGGAATCGTGAACCTCCCCTCGTCCCGGACAAAGGACGCGTCATGTGATCCAATGCTCGTCGACAATTTCATTCAAGTCGCTGGAATCCACGTAAACTGTCTTTCGGAGACAAAAGAAGAAGAGGTTTTTGTTTGCACTGGGGTTGGGGAAATCTTGATTGGAGAGGCTTTCATGACCCGGGATCCCAATTGCTCGCGTTCGTGGGCTGTATACTCTAACGTGGACCGATCTATCAAGAATAAGATCACTTGTGATACGTTTGTCCTAGATCGGGAGACCGATAAACTTGCTGTCACCATTCTTTCGGCGACATTTACCAGTGTCTCCATCGCCGGTCTTTCCCGAGTACTCAAGAAATTGAACAATCAACCCGACGACAAAAAAGTGCCTCTAGGCCAGTCTCTTCGCGATGACTCCAAGGTTGCACTCAATCCTACCCCTCAGAATGCACTAGCCGCTGTTCCGGTTCCTCTCCACTCTGCCCCGGATAGTGGACACTTTATGGTCGTCCAGGAGATGCTCTGCGATCTATTAGGAATCGCCTCCGATGAGTTGTTGCCATCATCGAACCTCGAAGACATTGGTGTTGATTCGCTGATGCGAACTGAGGTTTTGGTGGAGATAAAGAAGAGATTCAATTTCACCATTGACACTTCCTCCTTCGTTGAGTTCCCCGATATCCTAACGCTGGTGCAGACAATTTTCCCCGATGCCGCAACTGCTCCCCTCACAAATGGAGTTCACCCGTCATTGCAAATCGAGACTACAGAAGCAGTTGACTCGGAGAGCAATACCCATGTTATCCCAACCCCAATTTCCGATGAAGAAGTACATGGCCTCATTGACATTGCACCTGGCCTTTTCACTGATATTCAGAGAAGTATGGTGCACAGTCAATCTACCCAATGGGACGGGTTTTGTGAATCCGTATATCCCAGACAGATGGCCCTTGTCACAGCTTATGTGGTAGAGGCTTTCAAATCCCTCGGTGTCTCCCTGGAGAGCTTTGAGGCTGAGCATCTTATCCCACAAGTGCCAGTTCTTCAACAGCATAGCAAGGTTCGAAGCCAGCTTTATTCCATCTTGCAATTTTCCAATCTCATCCGGGCTACTGATCATGGCTTTGTGCGAACTTCGGTTCCCGTATCCACCATTTCGTCCGATGTATTGCACGAGGAAATTATTCGCCTCTATCCCCAGCATACATCTGAGCACAATCTGCTGAGGACAACGGGCTCGCGACTCAGTGACTGCTTAAGCGGAGCAGCCGACCCACTTTCTCTTCTCTTTCAAGATGCAGAGGCTCGTCGACTGATGGAGGATGTATACACAAACGCTCCAATGTTCAAGGCTGCAACTAACCACCTAGCCCAATATCTTGTCAATCTCCTTGGTCGCGTGGATACCACCAGAGAAATTAAGATTCTCGAGATTGGAGGTGGCACTGGGGGCACAACCAAAGCTTTGTTGAGTCAGCTGACTGCCGTTCCTGGTCTTCGTTTCCAATACACATTCACGGACCTATCCTCGGGGCTCCTGACTCTGGCACGCAAGAAGTTCAAGCATTACAGTTTCATGAAATACCAAGTCCTCAACGTTGAACGGGCTCCTACCCCAGACATGCTCGGTCAATATGATATCGTCTTATCCAGCAACTGTGTGCACGCAACCCGCAATCTCGTTCAATCGTGTTCGAATATCAACAAGCTTCTACGGCCAGACGGGCTTCTTTGCCTAATCGAGCTCACACGCAACTTATTCTGGTTCGATCTTGTTTTCGGTCTGCTGGAGGGCTGGTGGCTCTTTGAGGATGGTCGGCAACACGCCCTTGCGACCGAACACGTGTGGAAACAAACTCTTTCCCAATCAGGTTTCCAATGGGTGGACTGGACATACAATGACTCTCAAGAATCCAATGTGCTTCGGGTGATCACTGCGTCACCAACCTCGGCTGTCATTTTACCCCCGTCCCCCAGGAGCCCCTTATATCTCATGAACGAAGAGACTATTGTGTACGGCAAGAACGATGGCGTGGAGCTCTCTGCAGACATTTACTATCCTCGGGATCTTCAGCCTATTGGAAAACCCCGTCCAATTGGTATGTAGACGAACTTGTTCCCAGTCCTCTTTCCTCGAACTGTGCCAACCCTCCTTCTTACACTCGACAAACAGCTCTTCTTATCCATGGCGGCGGGCACATTATGCTCTCGCGCCGGGACATCCGCAGCAAGCAAGTCAGAATGCTCCTGAATGCGGGATTCTTGCCAGTCAGTGTTGATTACCGACTCTGCCCAGAGGTTTCCCTGACCGAAGGCCCAATGCATGATGTATGCGATGCTCTTTGTTGGGCTCGCCATGTCCTGCCCAGTTTAACTCTTGGTCGTCCTGATATCCAACCAGACGGAACCCAAGCGGTAGCGGTTGGCTGGTCTACTGGTGCCCATCTGGCCATGACATTGGCTTGGACTTCTCAGCAGAGGGGCATAGCCCCGCCTGACGCTATCCTCGCATTCTACGGCCCAACAGACTATGAAGACTCTTTTTGGTCTCAGCCCAATTTCCCTTACGGAAAGAATGCCGCCTCGCCAGAAATGCGATACAACCTGTGGGAAGGCATATATGAGACGCCAATCACTGCCTACAATCCTCCGGTCGACCAGAAGGCCCTTGGAGGCTGGATGTCACCGGCGGATCCTCGCAGCCGAATTGCGTTGCACATGAACTGGAAAGGACAAAGCCTGCCTATGTTGCTTCACGGCGGCCGCTTCTGGTCGGATCATAAAGATGGCAACTGTGGAGAGGAGTTGCCCGTTCCGACACTTGAGGAAATCCAAGCAGTGAGCCCTCTGGCACAGATTCGCAATGGGCGTTACAAGACGCCCACTTTCATCATACATGGAACCCTTGATGATCTCATTCCAGTGGAACAGGCCCAAAGGACCTCACAGGAGCTGGTTACGAAGGGCGTTGAGGTACAACTTCGAGTTGTGGATAAGGCAGTACACCTGTTTGACATTTATCCTGGTTTTGAAAAAGACCAGGCAGCTTCTCGGGCTGTTGAAGATGGTTATGAGTTTTTGCGTGATCATGTTCGATATTAGTCGATCGGGACTCTCGATGTTTATTTGTATCTTAAATTCTACCTGGTGATAATCATCACATTAATATAAGAATGAACCTTTCGGATGCTCTTACAATGTCTTTCTGTATCAATCTAGCTTTAGTATCAGTCCTCTTCCTATGATCATGTTCGTAGAGGTATCACTCATGATATATATTTTGACTACAGCGGCGTCCCCCATATATTCTGCCACCACTACATGCATTCTGGTTTACAGTAAAAAACATACATTTTGATCAGAAAAATTCGTATATTCTACCTGATTACTATAGGATCTCATCCCTTGACGGTAAAGCGGCTGATGAAATTTTGCTATTGGTTTACATATAACTTGTAGGTATCTGCTGTCTTGCTACTATTATATGGGGAGTCAAGGCCAGAAGGCGGTGTGGGCAGGTGTCGAGGCAGGAAATGTGCCCAATTAGGAAGGTGAAACTGAAATTTCAGGCAGAGAGGGGTCGATCTACAGTAGCCGGGGATCGCTGTAGCCCTCCCCGATGTTTTAACGCAAGTCTTGAAGTCAGAGAGAAAGATACCCTAATGGGCATGATATTTTTGATCCAGTAACCCTCCGTTTGAATTTCAATTGAGATATGAATTATCATGACAAAGTGAACATATTGTGAAATATCTGTCGCAACATCACAATATCCTACCATTGTACTCGATTAGTCCGACCATATCATCTTCAACCACCGGACCTCATCGGTTACTCTCTTGCGATACCACCCTCTAGGCTGACTTCCAGTGGGGTCCAGCCAAGCTGTCCAAAAGTCTCACGAAGCAATTTCTCGGCTCTTGCTGCTGGGACGACATCTCCTAGCGTCGGTTCCTCTTGTATAGGAGCAGCTGGAATACGAGCATTATTGGGTTGGATTCTTTTGAGAATTTCAATAACATCCCCCCATCTGAATGGAGCTGCAGTAGCGAAGAGTCGCTCGGAGCGCACGCTAGGATTGAGCAGAGCTATGGCGTGGAGACGAGCAGTGTCTTCCACATCCACAAACCAAGCTAGCAAAGTACTTTAGTCAATAATAGGTCTGTCAATTTGATTTGGAATACTAACGCAGTGGAAGGAATTTGAATGGCGTGGTATCTCCTCTGAGTAGTCCAGAGACATATCCCATGGTTGAACCACCGATGTTCGGATGAAGAATTTTGCCCAACTTCGAAAGAATCCGTGATTAGTTCAACTTTTGACGTAGTATATAAACATATGATTCTCGATAAGACTCACTGTAAGCCATGGAAGAACGGAATTGAGCTCAAAGTGTGGTTGGTTCTTCTCAACCCATTTCCACGCTTGTCTCTCTCCTTCGATCTTACATGCTCGATAGATGGGTACAGTGGTTCCATCTTTAGATGCCTGTTCGAGGCTTTCATCCCATGAATCTATATAGATTCTGTCAGCCTAGGTTTGTTATCTATTGACAGTTGCCTTACCAGCATCTAACTTGAACCCTTTTCCGGTAGGGTAGCCTGCCGCTACGATAGAAGAAGTGAGGACAACTCGCTTAATTGTGCGGTGTGTAGATGCAGCCTTGAAAAGATTGATGACTCCATTCACAGTATAGGCTGTTGCGCTTTCCACGGTTTCTGCAGCAGTGCTAGAAGGTAAGCCTTGAGCCTAGATATCTATTTGGTTAACACATATTGTTGTCAGAACCACTAGTACCAAAGAAACATACAACATGAATGACTCCCGATACACCCTTCACGCTCTCATCAAAGGCATCGGGCTGCTGAAAGTCCGAAACAACAATGAGTTCGAAACGTCCTAAATCGCACTGTCTCTCGAAATACTCCGCCAGCCAGGGCATAGGCGTGCGTACCGTGCCTCGAACCAGATAACCAAGATCTAATAGAACCTTGACGATGTGTGAGGCAATGTAGCCATTCGCCCCAGTAACGAGGACTTTAGAGCCTGGTGGAACGACATAGTTCTGAGCCTGCGTCATTCTGTTGCTAAAGAAGCTTTCTCAGATACTAGGATTTGCTTGAAACTCGTAGTATATTGCTCATGCCACCTTCAACTGTGCCACAAAGACTCCCACGATCGAAAACAGCGGTCAGATAGATACTTGACCAAATATACAATGCGGTCTTTGCCGTATCATCACGACTAGTAATTATGGCCCAGAATAACTCCCACAGGGGCCGAGGCCAAAACACGATCTATCAACTGAGCTAATTTTTGGAGCTCTGCAGTCCAACGTGCATTAACGCGCAGTCCTTAAATCATGTGGCTGAGCTGAGTAACTTCGTTCTTTTGGTGTGTCACAATTTGTATTGCTTTTTCCTTGTTGATCTTGAGATCGACACAAAGAGCTCCACTGCTCCGCATGTTGCAGAAGGTGGCTTTATTGCATGCAAGATAAGCACCATAACATAGAGTTCTATAGAGGAGTGTTGCATCTGGTCCCCTTGCCTCGTATAGTCACATTCCTAGTCAGTTGTATACATCATGTTCAGGATACACGCGATGATCATAGATTTCTCTGTCATATGCGGGGCCAAGAAATAATTTGAAGACACGGCCTGGATAAGGTACTGCAAAGGTTAGTGGGTGTAAAACTAGAGACTGCACTCAAAGGCTGTTTCCAGGGTCTGCTTTTACCTCCCAATCAAATTGGACTGTCATTTCTCTTTTTTTCTTCTGTTGCTCATTATACCAAAGTTATGTCGCTGCTTCAAGACACTGTAATGCCCCAGTTGCTAACATCTCTCATCATCTAAATTTCTTACTAATTGCTTTCCAGGTTGTTATAATCACGGGTAGCGCCTCTGGAATTGGACTGGCAACAGCCACAGCAGCTCTAAGCCAAGGGGCTAGAATTCTAGGTGTTGATGTCTCATCAGCACCTGTCTCACTCAATGAACATCCAAATTACAAATTCCTGCAAGGTGATCTCACCCATGAGGCGACACCAAGGCAGGTGGTAGAGACCTGTATCAAAGAGTTTGGTGGACGAATCGATGGCCTGCTCAACATTGCTGGTATCATGGACCAGAATTCCAGCGTGGATAGTCTCTCAGATTATATGTGGGAACGATGCATTGCAGTCAATTTGACAGCTCCAGTGAAGCTCATGCGTGAGGTTATTCCTATTATGCGACAGCAACAGAGTGGTAGTATTGTCAACGTCGGCAGCAAGGCAGCTACGAGTGGTGCTTCGTCCGGCGTTGCTTACACAGCTAGTGAGTATATCCCTATGAATCGAGGTATGCATCAGCATAGTGACAGACCTACTTTCTAGGTAAACATGGGCTGATGGGTGCAACCAAAAATGTTGCATGGCGGTACAAACAAGAGGGAATTCGCTGCAATGCCGTTTGTCCCGGGGGTACGTGGACCAACATATGCTATTAACATCAAATCTGTGTTAGTCGCTTATGATTTACACTAGGAGTTCCAACCGGTATAGTACAGGCCTCTGACCCAAGCACTTGGGACAAGGATGCACTAGGAACAATGTCTCTTATTCACCAGGCACATGCTGCTGATAGGCAGAAAGGACTGGGGGTTGAGGCCGAGGATATTGCCGACTGTCTTCTATTCCTGATCTCTAGTCAGAGCAAGAGAATTAACGGGGCAATCATTCCCATCGACAACGCCTGGTCTGTGATCTAACTGGAGATTCGTTTTGAATTTTGGATTCGGTAACAGGAGGAAAGCTAAATGAACCAAACGTTGAGCTTGGAATCTTAAGGAATTCAATTGAAAATTTACTTCTCGATATATATGAAGACTGCGAAAGTGTATAGCGCTGGTCAGGTCATAAGTCTCGAGTTCTTGATCCAACCTGTGTGCCATTGTTCACCTAACCGGTGGCCCACCTAAATCACGTGAGATCTCCACCGGTTGGTTGAACTTGCTTATCAGTGATTACTTAATGGTCTTGAGAATACGCATCATAAATACCGGAGGCTTAATTACATTAAGATCTTATTAAGGTGTTATTAGACAGATATACTACATGTTCTATGGATGCATAGAATAATATACTATTAACGTCTCATTAAGGTGTTATCCCTTCCTGATTCCACTGGGTGGTTAATGAGAGGTATTGACGAGAAATGACTGGTGGAAAGTTGGTATTGGTGAGGTATTGGTGAGGTATTGGTGAGGTTTAAAACCAAATTACAGAAGTTGACCCAACCGGTGGAGATAAGATAGGCTATCAGTCACGTGACTTGGGGTGGGCCACCGGTTAGGTCAAAAATGGCACACAGGTTGGATGAACTGTCGTCTCCCCGTTACCTTCGCAGGTAGGGAACCATCAAAGTCATCTAGTTACGCAGGCAATATTCAATCACAAATCCAAACAACCAAAACAAAGTAGCAAGGAAGAAAGCGGACTTGGCGTAGGATTCAACTCCATACGAGTTCCCTACCCGAGTCGCTTTAAGGAGAACCCAGAATCCGCAGAAATGACCGCCGACAGACACCACGAAAAATGACAGACCAAGTCCAGCGAAGAATCCTGCCATCGCGAGGAATCCGGTAGATGCATAAAGGAGAGAATATGACAGGAGTTCAATGGACTCCCTGAACCGGACCGCCATGCTCTTCACGCCGACCTTCAAGTCCTCCTCCGTATCCTGGCGCGAATAAATTACATCAATCATGATGATGACCAATCCAATAAACAGGAACATGCACACAGTTGGTTTCATCTGGGATAGAGGATCTAACCCGAGGCTGTGCATTGCCATCGGAATGGCCCATCCGATGTTCACCAAGGTGATCTGAGGATAGTCGGTGAATCGCTTGCCGAAGGGGTACAATAATGCAAAGAATGTGATTATAAGGCAATCCACGGCGCAGGGCCATGGAAGAAATATCAAAACACTGCCTCCACAGGCGAAGAGAGTCACAGTGAGAAGGAAAGCGTTCTTCGGGGATACTGCACCTCGTGGCAGTGGTCGGGTTCTGGTTCGAGATATTTGGCTATCCAAGTCCATATCGATAAGATCATC